TTCTGGGTAAATGTCAAGGCAGCCATTTTGGATTTTCCATCCTAAAATCTTGTCTGTAAAGTCTTGTTTACATGTTTTCTGGTTAACTGTGTGACGGATCAATTTAAAATTTTCAGGGGTGGTTCTTAGTTTGAAAATCTAGAAGTGACTAAATTTTTGGCATTCTGGGTAAATTTTAAGGTGGCCATTTTGGATTTTCCGTCCTCAAATTGTGTTGGTAAAGTCTTGTCTTCTCATTTTCAGGATAACCATTTGATGGGATCACCCATTGGTTGGGACATTTTGTACACATTTGTGTTCTTGTGTCTATTTATATTTATAAGAACAGAGTGAACAATAATAATACTGAAACCGAACAATAAAGAATACATATACTGTATAACATGAAATTTTGCCGTGGATATAAAGTTGCCGATTGCCGAATGTAAAACAGAAACGGCAACATAAAATTCGGAAATATAATTAAGTAATTGAAGATCGATCTTAGTGAGCGATAATATGGTAGTTGTCTAACGTGTGTCAACTTACTGTAATAGGGTAATTTTCTAACGAGTATCAACTTACTATACTTAAATAAAATACGATAAAATAGAAGCTTTATTCCCAGCATTACAATTACAATAAAAAGTTAATAATAAAAATGTTGCAGTTAAAATGCATGCAGTAAATTCTACAAAATATTAAAAGGATTGTCATGTTAAAAAGTTAAAATGTCAGAAGATATAATCGTATCCAAGTGCTTTGGAAATCCCAGTATTAAAAGTTTTTAATCCCGATATTAAAAGTTTTTAATCCTGGTTATAATTGTCCTGAGTCTATTAAATGCGGGTATTATGTGAATAAATCACGCAAATTGTCACTCATAATATCAGGATGTCAGGTTTTCTGAGTCAGTCAAATGAAGGTGATTGAAATTCAGTTGTAAATCAAAATTATATTAGGATTGTCAGCTTAGCAATATTTTATTTGGCTTTACATTTAGGGGTGTCAGGTCGGCAAACTTTTATTCGGCAATAACAATTTTAATCCAATTCAGAAAATAAAGCACCCGGATTTAATACATGTTATACAGTAGATGGTTCAATACAATTATGCTTTTCCATGTAGTAAGTTAGTCTTAGGCCATTCAAAGTTAACTAGAAAATGGCAACTCCACGGAGTAGCAAATCCCAACGAACACTATATAAATCATCAATCTGTACTGTCACAATGTAATATTTACCATCTACTCTTCCCTTCATTAAATATTTGAGATCATTGTAGTGTCATTTTACCATACTTTCAAGATAACTCTTAAAGATTCTCGCAATCTTATCCAATCAGCGTTTGCGAGTGTGTCGGCTCACGTATAAAAGGCGAATCTAACTCAAATCCATGCAGGGGTGTATGAGGTACTCGAATAGGAAATCTGAATTTATATGCACATGGTCAATGTTTACACATGTTTGGAGTTATTGAAGAAAATGTGATATGGGTGTGGTTCCGAATTTGAAGTCATTGCTGGAAAATATGATTTTAATATGTGAAATTATATCTATAAATACAGCACTAAAAATAACAGTACACATGAAGTACATGTATGATTGTGTCCAGAAATGTTTGAAACCCTTACAGAAAATTCTGTCTGCATTTTGTCACCATTGCTCTTTCTTCCCGCATTCTAGTGCTGTTTGAATGAATATTATTAATTAATGTATTTCTAACTAAAATATATCACATTTTTTTTATAAACCACAAACATCTAGATCATAAAAAAAAATTCAATACTTGAGTGAGCACGATATGCAAGGGTTACTAAGTTGACACAGTAAATGACCACTGATATTGTGTTAGCAAATATGTATTAGCAGAATACGCTGTGTGCATGGACTAACACCCCTCACTTTCATAGTGAAGTGACTAATTGGTTTATGTTTATGTTTTAATGTGTTTTGGGTTCCTTGTTACAGCAAGGGGGGCCAGTAAAGTAGACTAACATGTTTGCATGGCAAATTTTGATCGAATATGTGAGACACTTTAAGTAATGGCAAATTTCTGCTCTAGTCAGCCATTTTGAATTTTCAGAGACGCAAATCAGAAAAACAATGCCATAATTGTGATCTACTCTGAAATTCCTTCAATTTGAGTATAATATAGCTATACTTTTAAGAGATCAGAAAATAATTGTGAAATCCCGCATTAGATGGCCATTTTGAATTTTTTGAGGCCCGAATCAGAAAAATGCTACAATATTTGCAATCTACTCTAAATTGAAAAACCCGGGATATATGTGAAATAGATAGATGTTGCTAATATACTACCAAAATTTCAATTAATAATATTTATTATTTTTGTTTAAAATGAAAAACATAAGACTTTTGCAAAAGATTCCAGCCAGTTTAAAAAGTTTTTAAACTGGCGGCCATCTTGAAAAAAACTTGACTAATATTCGAGTTATCTTCCAGACAGATGGACAGACAGAAAATCTGTTGACTAGTATTTCGGACAGACGGACTGACTGACGGATGGATGGATGGAGGGGCTTCACTATATCCCTACAGAACTTCGTTCATTGGGATAATTACTGGTTAATTTCATTGTTTGTTGAGGGGTTAATCTGAGGAGGGCGGGAGGTGAAAACAAAAAAAATCAGGGAACTCTTTACAGTTTAAAATTGTATTCATATAAGGCGCGGTGCTGTCTGTTTGACAGTCCGGTCGTATTCCGATCCAACGAAGATTAGGGGATAAGCTATAGAGACCCCTCCATTTGTCCGTCCATCCATCCTTCAACTAGACAACAGCAACACCAAAGTGTAGCAAATCCCATCGAACAGCCATGGCTGGCATTTTTTTACAAACAAAGTATACAGCAAAAATTGCAGCCATTTTTCAAAATGGCCACCTTCTACCAAAAGTGTCATTAGACAGTGTGCCACGCTTATAATATTCACGCATCAAATATGAACAAAATCGCTCTACTACTTTTCGAGTTATAGTAAAATACGTTAAAATGACGGCCATTTTTCAAAATAGCTGCCTTCTATCAAAAGTGTCATTAGACAGTGTGCCATGCTTATAGTATTCACATACCAAATATGAACAAAATCGCTCCACTACTTTTCGTGTTATAGTAAAATACGTTCAAATGGCCGCCTTCTACCAGAAGAGTCATTAGACAGTGTGCCATGCTTATAGTATTCATATACCAAATATGAACAAAATCGCTCAACTACTTTTCGAGTTGCAGCAAAAATCGTAAAATAACGAGTAAAGGCTGCCATAGTTCAATTCTTTGAAGCAAATGATTCTAAAAGTACAACATATCTTTGAAAAAATATCATTCTGTTAAGTGAAATTGTAAAAAATATTTTGCAATGTGTGAAATTGAATTAAAGCACATGATTCAATGAATAGTGGATGCTTCAATTCACTTATGTCTTCTAGTCTAGGCTTTGAATTCGGACTACCACCCTCGTTCATAGTCTAGAATCAGGACATATGTTAAATTTAATCATCTACAATGCATTGAGTCATTATGCATTGTAATTATTTAAGTATCATCTCAATGCTTTAATTTTAATAGAATTATTTTAATATTTTACTAACTGTATAATATGTAGTTTGCATTACTGTTGATAAATAAATAAATGATTGCACTGTTCAGTAAAGAAATATAGCAATTGTATTATTTAAACTGACTATACACTATAGAAATGATTTTCATTGAAAAATCAAATCAGTACCAAAATTATGGTTACCCTGTAGTAGTGAAAGGCACATTAAAAATGAATATCACCCCCTTCAATCTATTTTTACAGGTTTTTATGATTATTTCAGATTTTTCTATAGTTTGGGTAACCAGGACGGTGAATTTTCTTCATTTTTCATCAAACATTTTGTCTTACCAATATTTATTATATCTGTCAATTTTATCAAAATCACGCCGCTACATTTGAAAATAATTCAAATTATGTAGTTTTTCCCATTGAGCTCCATTATAAAAATGGAATTTTCAAACTTAATATTTTAAAATTCTACGTGGTGAAAAATTGCATATTGAGTAGTTAGTTAATGTTATGGTGTTAAAAATTCAAAACAAAAAGGAATAAAGAAAAAATGCCACAGAGAAGTCTCAATAGAGTCTCTTTAAATTCTTATAACCAAAAGACATTGATCCCGTGAGGTGATTTTGGTAAACGTTACTCCTTTCTGGGCAATTAGAACACAGTATAACATAATAATACACTTTTGAATGTACATTCTTGTTACATAACACTTTACCGTTTACACAATCCATAACCTGTTCTGATTGTGACGTCAAGCTTTATCCCGGGAAATCTTTGTCTACCACTGATGGACAGTCAGAATAAGATGTGAGTTTGTTGGTATAGTATTTCTACCAACTAATACTCATTGAATCTATTTGAGTGTAAAAAAATAAATGGAAATTACCGAATTTACACTTTAATATATAACCTACAAGAACCGATTGCTTTCATATTTATCAGTTCATAGCACTTGCTAATGATACCCAACAGTTCATCAATAAAACTTTTCAAAGAAGTTAGCTAATCTAATGCTGAGAAAATACAGCTTCTTTCAGACTGAACTGGGTGACTTTTCCATTGATATTGGATATTTTTGCATGATGTATTTAATTTGACATACTCGCACTGCACAATATATAATTGATCTCTTTTATATTTATAGCACTTGCTAATGATACCATATAAATAAAGATTTTCAAAGAATTTAGAATATGTATTGCTAAGAAAACACTTGTCAAAAAGTGTCTCACTTTTTTGGGACACCCGATATACTAAATAAACTGATATTCAGCACCTACAAAGTATTTCTAGTTACTTCATTGCCATATGAATAATGAAACTTATCTGGTGACATCTACCTGTGTTATAACATTCTTTCAACACCTTCATGACTTAATTACCTGCCTTACATGTACACTTTTTCGGATTAAGAGTACATCTAACTAAATATCAAAACATCATTCTTTTTCAGATTTCACTTATTGTGAATGTTGCCAGTGAGTGTGGGTATACAGATAATCACTATAAGGGACTTGTGAAGGCCAAGCAGGCATTTGGTTCTAAGTTTACAGTTCTAGCATTCCCCTGTAACCAGTTTGGTGCTCAAGAACCAAAGGTAATTATCTTTAATATTATAAATCATCCAAGTGCTTCTTTTGCCAAGACCATCTCTACATTCTAGTCTTGGGAACCTTCAATAGAAACACACATTATATTTCAAAGGTCGAAAATATCAGCGCTTATAATGATAGTTTCTCTCCAGGTTCTATCAAATAACAAAAATCTTAAGCTGATGGGCAAAAAGTTTATTCTATTTAATTATTAATTATATAATTTGTCAATACTTTGTTCCGTGATAACTAATAAAAACTGTTGTAATAAAGATGATTTTCTGAGACGATGCTGAAGAAGAGTCTGAAAGTATGGAAAGTTCCACAGGGAAGATTTCTGAAAGAAGGCAAATGATAATTTCCCAAAAATGCCTAATATAATATAGGTGAACCAATGGAGAACAAATTAAAGATTACTGTACTCCTTGTAATTTTTGCGAGCTACTATATTTCGCACTTTTCGCAAGTTTTTGAAAAGGACCAGATTTAACATGGCAAGAGATTTTTGACAGCTATATTTTTGGTCGTGGGTATTTACCGACCATACAGTGAACATTTTATCTTAAAACGAAAAAGATGCTACACGTCTACAGGTGGACAAACTCTTCCCCCTGAAAAGTATTTTAAGGGTCAGATCACTAAATTCACGATTGTGTTGAAGAATTCATATTGCTTATTACGAGTGATTATTTAGCATGTTACTGAATATCTCATCAAGTGACCTAAACTACAGCAGCTAAAATAAGCATATCGAAATATAATTCAGTATGATTCGGAGAAGGGGATTATACAGTTATATTAGTCAATTTATTTATTATCTTACAATTTAGCTCAATTCTTGAATTTGAAGATCTATTGCCATATTGTTTAAAATGCATTATAATCGATCGATCTGATGGTAAGAACTAGTATGTGATATGATCGATTTTACCTTTTTGTCGTCATTGCTGAGGAATACAATAATACCATTCCAATTAATGATAACTCACTTATCGTATTACTTGTGCTTGATACACATGCTGGAAGATATGCTTTTAAAATTAGTAAACCATTACCAAAACTATGGTTACCCTGTAGTAGTGAGAGGCACATTAAAAATGAATATCACCCCCTTCAATCTATTTTTACAGGTTTTTATGATTATTTCACGTTTTTCTATATTTTGCGTAACCAGGATAGTGAATTTTCTTCATTTTTCTTCAAACATTTCGCCTTACCAATATTTATTATATCTGTCAATTTCAAGAAAATCGCACCGCTGCGTTTGAAAATAATTCAAATTGTGTTACTTATTGTATTACTTGTGCTTGATACACATGCTGGAAGATATGCTTTTAAAATTAGTAAACCATTACCAAAACTATGGTTACCCTGTAGTAGTGAGAGGCACATTAAAAATGAATATCACCCCCTTCAATCTATTTTTACAGGTTTTTATGATTATTTCACGTTTTTCTATATTTTGCGTAACCAGGATAGTGAATTTTCTTCATTTTTCTTCAAACATTTCGCCTTACCAATATTTATTATATCTGTCAATTTCAAGAAAATCGCACCGCTGCGTTTGAAAATAATTCAAATTGTGTTTTTCCCATTGAGCTCCATTATAAAAATGGAATTTTCAAACTTAATATTTTAAAATTCAATGTGGTGAAAAGTTGCATATTGAGTAGTTAGTTAATGTTATGGTGTTAAAAATTCAAAACAAAAAGGAATAAAGAAAAAATGCCACAGAGAAGTCTCAATAGAGTCTCTTAAAGCCCCCGATAAATATGGCTACGTATACCACCGTGTTTACATTAGGAGATTAGAAGAGTTTATTTTTACTTAGGTATGCAAGCAATATCAATATTAGGCCTTCATGCATGTACTCGTGTGTACAATCAGCATATAAGCCAGGCTATTCAAGTACAACATAATGTACACTATTTATGTGTGTAGTACATGGGAATACGATTCCCTGGGAAACAAAACACAAATACTTTTTATATGTTAAAAATGAGCAATTTGATTGATGCATACACTTAATACCTTCATATATAAACATCTACAATGTATATCTAATAGTCATTTTCAATTCTAATGGTGAAACTTGCCTGGTTACGATTATACAGGAAATCAACATGGGACGTTAGTTGTACACCTTCCTGGCTTACCTCTGAAGCCTGTACCCTGTAATCTCTTTATATAGGTTAGCGAGAGCGCTGCGCCTGCGCAGTTTTAAATTTTGGCGCACACTTTAAGCCATGGAAGATATGTGAACTGTGGTGCCTACGCATTGTATATATGAACAAATGATCACACTCCAGAGATGTGTCATTAAAGCCTGATATAGTTCAAATATCAAAGCATTACCTTAACTATAAAGTGAATGAAAACAAAAATATAAAAATTCAGCCATTTTTCATGGAGAAAAGTATACGTCCAATAAAGTAATATTTTAAGCCAAAGTAAAGTTGTTTGAAAAGGTTACATATAAAATTCATCAATTGTTTTAATAAAGGCAAAGTAATGTGTTTTGAAAATGCCTACATATAAATATAATCCATTCATCACGTAGAAAAATTTAAGTCCAATAAAGTAATGTTATAAAGGCAAAGTAATATGTTTTAAAAATTCTTACATATAAATATCATCAATTCTTCATAGAAAAAAATTTAAGTCCAATAAAGTAACGTTTTATAGGCAAAATAATATGTTTTGAAAATGCTTACATATAAATATCATCCATTCTTCATGTTTTAAAGTCAAAATGAGTCTTAAAATATTTTCTTTATATCAATCCTAAAAACCATTACTTTTTTGTCCCTATATCTTGACACTGATGTGAATTAATACTTCTGACTATATGAATTATTTTTGTTACAGGGTAACAATGGCATTTTGCAGTTTGCTCAAGGTGTATATGGAGCCAATTTCCCAATGTTTGCCAAGATAAATGTCCTTGAGCCTGATGTTTCGCCTGTATGGCAGTTCTTAGCAGGTAAGGCAACAACAACGTTTAGAAATGAAAGTCAGTCATGTTCAGATAGTTATCCCATCGATTTTTGCTATACTGAAAAGGTAGTAGAAGGATTTTGTAAAAATTGCAGTCAAGGCTGTTCGATGGGATTTGTAACATTTTGGCATTGCTGTTATCTAGGCTAGTTTATGTAGTAACTATAAATGCAGAAGTAAAGATAGTGCATACACTTTGGATTAAAGCTACCATTTGCATTCATTCGAGAGAGTTACGTCTTCACTCTCTCAGTTTACAATAAATCTCTGAACTCACTGAGCCATATAGAGTTTGTCATCCAAATACGGACTACTTTTTATATACGGTAATTTCCTCCGACGTCATTGCATAGTTAATGAGCACTCATTTAGCATGTATTCCTTCCTTTTCACTGATTGGTTGAGAAAAGATCAGTGTGGCAAGTTTGAAATTATTTATGACCGAGGCTGTCAAGGGCATAGGTTGTGGGGCGTTGCTACTGTACTGTAATATGGTCTATACTAGGCAGAGGGTAGTTTATAACTAGACTGTGTGCGCGCAGGGTGGATTAAAGCAATGCAACTCAAGGAAGCTAAAGAATAGCTGATGTAAATGATGCCTAAAAATGTTTAGTTCTGGTTTTGTAGAAACATCTGGTCATGCTCCAAACTGGAACTTCTGGAAGTACCTGGTGGATGGAGATGGACATGTCCTCAATGCATATGGCCCATGGGTATCTGTAGAAGATATGTGGCAAGACATCACCTTTGCTGTTCATAAACTGAACAATGCTGACAAACCTTATGATCACAGCGAACTGTAAATGTTTATCAAGAGTTATCCATGACGTGCAACTCATTTCATGATTCTTGTCATTGGTCATTTTACATCAGTGTATTCTGGTTTACCAGACACAATCTTACAACATATAGTACCTCATACTGGAGTTACTCATGAATATGCCCACTGGGTTTTTATTTTGACCCATGGGCCTTTTTCTAAGGGGGGGGGGTGTTTATTAAGAGGGAAAATAGCTCTACCAAGCCAGTTGGCATTTATTTCCAGGGATATTACTGATCATAAAGAATCAAATTGTTTAGCAAAATTGACAATATTTTGAATATTTGCAAGTTCCACCAAAGGTTAGACATCAATTTCTTCAATATTTGCAAAATTAGATGACTAGCAACAAGTCTCGTGGGAGTACCGGCACATAATATGATATAAGAGAAACCTAAGGTGTATATAACAGCAATTGAAAGAATGTGACCTAAAGAAAAATTTCCAAGTTGCCAAAGAAGCAGACTATGCAATACTCAGGAGGAAAATCCTCCATATTTACTCCTCAAAAAAAGTTAAGGACCCCTCTTTTTCCTCATAGGTTTACATGTTAAATATTGAAACTTTTCTGAAATATAGAGAATATTGTCAAGGTACATTTCCATTTACATTATCAGTTTTTCTTCATTTTCGGACTTAAAAAATAGAGTTCAAAGATACATGGGATTGAACATGTAAAGACTGGTCCTTAACTTTCTTTAAGGAGTATATTTATACATTATTATCATTATGGAGAATGTTGTTTTTGATTAACCTATACACTCATGTGATATGATTGGAAAACCAAAATATATTCATTTGCAAAAAAATCATGTTTTGTTTTATTCGAAATGTATTATGTAAAACCATGGGCTCAACCATGTCTACCACCTGGGCGTGAAACTAAAATCTGGATGGCCACAGAATGGCTACCTACTACTAGCTCTTCAAAATGGAGATGACTACTATTGAGCCACATAATCTACAAGGACAATCTCCACACTACCCTACCACGTGACCAGATTTAAAAATGATACAGGGTACGGTTAAGTTGCAAATGGAGCGGGTATTCTCTATCTTTGTCCATTGGGCTTTTCTGGTAATAATACGTTGCAAACTGCTCGATGAATCTATACAATGTATAGTAGAACACTTAGAATATGTGTAAAATCTAGTATACATTCAGAAATATGGAAATAAACAAACGTCCTCCATTTGCAACTTCCCTGTAGCCTGTACTTCTTTTAAAGGAATACAGGATACAGTATGGGGGTATAGTAGTGTGATCTCTTAGCATTTGTTCAGTGCAATCGTGCCTCCTTACATTTCTCATGTAGGTTAACCTTTCTGGCCCAGTTATCCCCTCCCTGAATCTGAAATGTCATAGATACACAATGTTGGGGAATAGATAACTGGGCAAGAAAGGTTTAGCTAATCTCTCATGCATATGATAGTATTCCCAGGGACTTTAGAAAAAGCCACTTCAGAAAATATACTAATTTCTTCCATTAAAAATCAGATCATCAGATAGAAGACATCAAGGCTTTCTTATTACAGAAATAAATTTGAGACAAATAAAGGCAATATAAAGAAATCTTGGAATGTAATTAACGCTATCTTAAACAGAAATCCAAATCAATCTAATATCAACGATACATTTGATCTTGAAAATACACAAATCTCAGATGGTCTTGACATAGCTAAGAATTTCAATAATTTCTTTAGTTCAATTGGTCATAAACTTGCAAAAAAGATAAACAATAATCTAGATCCAATGGTAAATTTAAAGAAAACTAATTCAAATAATAACTCAATATTTCTAACACCTATTACTGAAACTGATGTCATGGCCCAATTAAAATCTTTAAAAGACTCTGCTGCATCTATAGATGATATAGAACCCAGAGTAGTGAAAACACTGAACGAATCTTTGTCAACTCCTCTTACTCAGATATTCAATTTATCAATAACTACTGGTACATTTCCTGATGCATTAAAAATAGCTAGAGTAATTCCAATTTATAAGAAAGGCCTTAAAGATAAATTCAACAACTATAGACCAATTTCAATTCTCAGTGTATTTTCTAAAGTGCTTGAAAAAATTGTTCATGTAAAAGTGACAACATTTTTAGAAAAATATGAAATTTTATATTTACAACAATATGGTTTCAGGAAGAAGCACTCAACTTATATGGCACTTCTAAATTTCATTGAAAATATTCGTAGGTCATTAGATATCGGGGAAACTAGCATTGGGATATATATTGATTTGACTAAGGCTTTTGATACAGTGGATCACAAAATATTATTACAAAAACTTGAATTTTATGGTATTCGTGGAACAGCTCTTTCCTTGTTCAAAAGTTATCTCGAAAATCGAATTATGGTCACAGAAATTGTTAAGAAAGATGTCTTGATTGATCAATTTACAACTACAGATATGAGATATAGATCCGGTAAAAATAAAGTTGAATATGGTGTCCCTCAAGGTTCAGTCATAGGTCCCCTCTTGTTCATAATATTTATAAATGACTTACATTTAATATCAAATAAACTAAACTTTGTCTTATATGCTGATGATACTAATATCCTACTTACCAATAAAAATTTTGAAACTCTAGTCTCAGATATGAATGCTGAATTAAAAACTGTTTCTAACTGGATGAAATCTAATAAATTAACTCTTAATGTTGAAAAAACAAAATATATGATATTTAATAAAAAGAAGGATCCTAATAAAAACAATATTGTTCTCAAAATTAATGAACAACCTATAGAAGAAGTTAAAGAAATCAATTTTCTAGGTGTCATTATTGACTCAAAGCTGAATTGGTCATGTCACATAAATGCTATCTGTACAAAAATTTCTAACTTGATAGGCCTTCTCTACAAGACTAGACATAGACTGACTTTAAATACAATGACCACTATCTATTATTCCATGATATATTCCTACTTAAGCCATTGTAACCTTTTATGGGGAAATGCCATAAAAACTCTTATTCAAAAATTGTATGTTCTGCAAAAGAAATTCTTGAGAGTTATCACCTATTCTGATCGTCTGGCTCCTTCAGGACCTCTCTTTTCAAAACTGAAAATATTGAATATATTTGACATCAATAAACTACAAACCGCTAGCTTTGTTCAGAAAACTGTTTCAGAATCACCAGAATTTCCTTTTCAAAAGTTCAAACATTTATTTGTTCCAGGAACAGCAATTCATAATCATGACACGAGAATTAATAAGAATTTAACTGTAAAAAAATTCAGAACAGAAATTGGAAGAAAATCAATCGAAACAAGTGGCCCATTACTCTACAATACTCTTTCACTTGATCTCAAAAAGTCTAAACATATCAAATCATTTGAACGAAAGTTAAAGTTTGATTTGCTAAGTCATTATTAGATCTTCTTTGAAAAATGCTTTCTTCTTATTACTTGTATTTTATTGTGATGCATGTTATGCTTTGTCATTTCTTTTTTGTTTCCATATAACCTGACTGTTAATTTAATAAATGCTATATTGTATGTTAAACATGGAACTTGTACACCCCTCGGGGTGTCTTTTCATGTCAACGTAAAACACTGTATTTGAAACATTTGAAATAAAGTGAATTGAATTGAATTGAAGGCTTTAAAATGATTTATGAATATCATATGGACAAGTTGAGAAGTTGTGAAAGGATTGGTATCGATATGGCGAACTGAAGTGAACACATGTTTCTCTTAAACCAGTCATAAAAAAATCTGAAAAGGATCTGTTACCCCATGTACATAAAGATGCCCCCAAAGGTTTCATTGAATATAACATGGAAATAGTTACTTTTATCAATTGTGAACACATCCAAAACAAAATTAGGTCATAGGGATTAAAACTAAGGTCATTCAGTGCATTTAAGTTTGACTAAGCTTGTATTCGCTAGTACAAATAACGGAGGGCGACTGATGATTTAATTGTTATTTTATGGCCAATCCATTAAAAGATGAAAAGGACCTGCTGTGCATATCGACAGTCGCTATCTATCGGCTCAGACCCGGTCGCTGACCTAAATAACGCTTTAATGTGTTTACTTAAGTGACAACTGACAACGACTTTCGATGTGTTCGGTATTTCAGCTAGCGGAAGTACATTACGCGCATGCGCATAAGCAAAGGTCGTCAAACTCCTCAACTGTGTTGCAGAACGACAGTATTTTGGGAATGTCCCTCCTCAATATGCTCAGTAGCATGACCTCTTCATCTTCACTGTCCAAAGAATCCTCGGATTCGCCCGAACTCTCCGAACTTTTTGCTATTTCCTCGAGTAAAAGCACCGCTAGTTTTCTTTTATTCGCCATTTTGTATGTAAGACATGTAATCACATGATAGTGGCATAAAAATATCACGTGACCATCACGTGACCACAGTCAGTTAACTTGCTCTGATCGTTATTTCAGCATCAAAATGACGGTTTAATTTATTCATAAATACCGGTTATTATGTCATCGTCAGTCGGCGGACGGTTCTAGCGAATACAAGCTTAGGAAATCATTCTAAATATCATGTTATGGGTATGTTAGTCTTCACTCATGACTATTTTAATTATTTTGACGATTCAATAAACCGATATATCAAAATATCATTATCCCATCGAACGAAGTTCAGAGGGATATAGGGAACGCCTCCCTCCGTACGTCCGTCCGTCCGGGCAATAACTCAAATACCGTTGGCCTGATTTTGTTCATATTTTGTACACATATACCCAATGGGGGTAGAAAACCGATTTTCAAAATGGTCACTCATTTAAAAATGGCGGCCATTTTAGTGCCGATTTTACAGTAATTTAGGTACTGCATATAAAACTGTAATAACAATATGTTTTAGAAATGTAAATATAGAAGAAATACATGGCAGCCATCTTGAAAAATGACTGCCTTTGCACGTCATTTTTCGATTTTTGCTGTAACTTGAAAAGTAGTGGAGCGATTTTGTTCATATTTGGTATGTGAATACTTTAAGCATGGCACAATGTCTAATGACATTTTTGATAGTAGGCGGCCATTTTGAAAAATGGCCGCCATTTTTACATGTGTTATTTAACATTTTTTACTGTAAGTCAAAAAGTAGTGGAGCGATTTTGTTCATATTTGGTATGTCAATGCTTTAAGCATGGGACAATGTCTAATGACATTTTGGGTAGTAGGCGGC